TTTTGCTTGCCGTATCGGTGAGAACCAGCCCCTGGCACAGCCCACCTGATGAAGGGTAGGCCCAGAAACCGGTTGTGGGAGTGGAGCTTGGTTCCCCCCTTTACGACAAGCAAAACAATTTTCTTTACTTTTTATTTTTTTTTAATTTTTCTCTACTTTCGATTTTTTCGAAATTAGAAAAAATACACAGCTAAAGGCAAGAAAATATTATTTATTAATATACACTAAAGCTGTAAGAATTTTGTTCATTTCATATATATATATATATATATATATATATATATATATATATATATATATATATATATATATATATATATATATATATATATTTGGGACAACTAATATACCCAGCTCGGGATCTCTAATTCCAGAAATCAACAGAATAATTAAGTTAGCATGGAGTACTTATGGAAGAAACTCAATCATATTAAAAAAAAATTGGTGCCGGGAGGCACATATACAGGGTTGTTCACCACATACGACACGGAATTTTGTAGCTAAACGATTAGATTTTTACAAATTGTAATTTTTGGGTTCGTTGAAGGACTATTAGAGCTACAATTTAAATATATTTTTACAAGATACAGAGTGTCCCAAATAAATAAAAAATATCAAAGTTGTATTTTTTTAAATGGAACACCCTGTATATTATTACATTTTTAGTTTCTACGATTAAAATAAAGGTAAATTTAATTAAGGTTTATTGCACTTAAAACTTACCGTTTTTGAAATATTTGCAATTTTGTGAAATTGCAGTATAAATTTTAAGGCTTCATTTCTCCGAGGGTATCAAAGTTTTTAATACTAAATATTTACTGAAGTTTATTTATTGATCAGTTATTGTGTTGCAATAATAAAAATTTTACTACCTTATACAGAGTGTCTAAATACTTATTTTAAATAATTATTAGCTATAAACGGCAATAACCTGTTTAATTTAAATGGAACACCCTGTATATTTTATAAGAATCAGATGCACAATTTAATTGACTATCAAATTGTGTTATACCATTTTTACCTGTCTCTTCAAGTTTCCGTAGAAAATGCATTTTATTGTAATTTAGAACTCATTTATCAATATACCCATGGAATACTGACATTTTAAATTATTTTTAAAGATGTACCAAATTTTTAAAGAGTACAGATACTGATATTGTCGATATAGTTCGTTTATTTCATTAAAAAATAAAAAAACTGTTTAAATATTTGTTAAAGAGGACCAATTAATATCTTTCCAGTATTCAAACTACATTAATTGACTGTTTGCGTTGATTAATAATAGTTGCTTCAAATATTAAAAACTGAATTGTATGTGTATTAGATAGTGTAGTAAAAAAAACTAACACCTTAAAAATGTTATTTCACTTTTTGACAAATGCTTATTTATAACAACAGAGACGTTCATTTTCATAACATTATTATATTGATTTCTGATTCAAATCCACATTTATTTAGAATAATTTATTAACGAACACAATTAAGTATGTAATTAATTAGTATTTGGGCAGAAATACTGGTGCTATATTTAATTAAATGTATACACTTTTATAAAGTTTAAACAGTTTTCTTTTTGCATACAAATGGGCTAGTAATATTATCGTTTTACTAAAAACGATAATATGACTAGCCTGTACATTTTGTAGATTTGTTGTTTTAAAAACAATCTAAAATGTCAATATTCCATGGGTATATTGATAAATGAGGTCTAAATTATAAGAAAATGCATTTTCTATGAAAATTTGAAGGGATAGGTAAAAAACGGTATAATGCAATTTGATAGACAATTAAATTGTGCATCTGATTCTCATAAAATATACAGGGTGTTCCATTTAGATTAAACAAGTTATTGCCGTTTAAAGCTAGTCATTATTTAAAATAAATTTTTAGACACTCTGTATAAGGTAGTATAATTTTTATTAATGCAACACAATAACTGATCAATAAATAAACTTCAGTAAATATTTAGTATGAAAAATTTTGATACCCTCGGGGAAATGAAGCCTTAAAATTTATACTGCAATTTCACAAAATTGAAAATATTTCAAAAACGGTAAGGTTTAAATGTAATAAACCTTAATCAAATTTACCTTTATTTTAATCGTAGAAACTAAAAATGCAATAATATACAGGGTGTTCCATTTAAAAAAATACAACTTTGATATTTTTTATTTATTTGGGACACTCTGTATCTTGTAAAAATATTTTTAAATTGTAGCTCTAATAGTCCTTCGACGAACTCAAAACTTACAATTTGTAAAAATCTAATCGTTTAGCTACAATACTCCGTGTCGTATGTGGTGAACAACCCTGTATAAAAAAATATGTTAATAAAAAGTTGGTAGGCAGTTCTTTTAGTTTCAAAGTAAAGGAATTTTTCCAATTTTTTTTTATCTCAAAAACTGCAACTTTGACTGATTTTGATGTTATTACAAATTTTGTTGCAAATATTATTCCTAATCCTAAATTGAAAACCGCGTTTCGCTAGCTACTGTAATTTTGGAGTTACGATTTTTTAAAATTTTTAACCCTCTCCCATACCCCCTTACCAACCCCCCACCCCCACCAAAAACTAATGGCCAGATTCTCGGGTGCCACAGTATTTTTGTGCCAAATTTGGTTAAAATCGGTTTAGCTGTTTTTGAGTTATCGTGTTACAGACGGACAGACAGACAGACGCCATGAAAACATTTTGTATTTAGGTCATTTATGACCCAAATAACTCATTTTGAGTGAAATTAAAAAAAAAAATTTTTGCCGATCTTGATAGCCTACCATACCTATTGGTATGGTCGGCTAAAAATTATATAAATAAACTCAATCTAGAATGCCACTTTATCTAAAGAAGAAAATATTTGACCAATGTGTACTACCAGTCATGACCTATCCATGCGAAACTTGGACACTTAAAGGTCGATTCTCACTATACCTTCCGTTTCCATTCCATATCCATTCCATATCCGTTCCATATTTTTTATTGTATTGACGCTATCCGTAAGCTTCCGTTCCGTATCAGTTCCATACTTTTATTGTACAATTTACATCATTACGAAAGTTTTATTTTAAAAATTTGTATCTTTTGAAAAAGATAGGGGAAAGTGGGGATCATCCGGCATATTTACTTAAATTTCACTAACTTTTGAAAACCTCTAAAAAAAAGAATTATAAGTGTCTCGATGAATTTGTGGTAGTATTGTGTATTGATAAGGCGCACAGGCAGATTTCTGCTTAACCAAGTTCCAAGTATTTTTTCAGTTTTTACTTTTAATGTAAATAGCCGAATCTTGCCCACCGGTGGTGATCATTCATCTAGGACTCTGGGATGTTTCGGCTACTTTCAAGCTTAAACTCAAAACTAACTCAAATAAGTTACAAACATCAGTAAAATAAGTGTTTAATGCATAGTAACAAATGAACAAAACTAATTCAAAATATTTTGAACAAAAACAGGACATAGGTACTACGAGTATAGGTAATACATCTATTAGAACTTAGACACTAATTTTAACGTACATTCAAAGAGTAAAAATTTACGTTAAACTTATAGGCACTAGATGTTCTTGATGTTCCTTGGACGGTAGAATGTGGTAAAACTGCCATAATATCATTAAAAGATATTAGTGTAAAATCGTCTACATCAGGAAAGAGGAAGCAGTTGGATTTTCCTTTTCTTCTTAAAAATTTCACTTCGAATTCTTCGTTATCCATATAGTCTGTCCAACGAGAAGATCCTTGACAGTGATAGATGTGTCTGTCATTTTAATTTCAAAGTAGTTTATTTTATTTTACAAAGAAATAAGTTGGTACAACTGGAACGCATAGCAGGAAATTAATATATTTAAACTGACTTTTGATATTTGACCATTTGACTGACAAGTGATTACTTCAATATATTGTGAAAAAAAAACTGTATAAAACTGAAAAAATGTAATCGAGTTATTTTATTTAATAAAAAATGGTATGTGTTAATACAAAACAAACAGGAACAAGATACCACATACCAAAATATATAAAAAAAATATTTCTTACTTTCAAGCTTTATGAAACTTCCCGCATTTACGATTATATTATTTATCAATATAACTTATGTACAAATACAAATTTGTAATATTCCACAGGAATAAATAAAACAACATAAATAAAACAAACTATTTTATTAATAATAACACTTACCACATGTTATACCTTAAAGGTTGATTAATTAATTTTAATTTTAATTTTTTTAAATCAGTACCTTTTTGACATTATTTTTCTGCAGTACTAAAATCCATTATTTACCTATCGTGTGATGTCGATATTTTACAGCTACTCCAGTTTTTAGTATGTCTTTAGTATGGTCCTTTTACCATATTCGAGATGCACTTATCTACGACGAGATGGTATACGAACTTTATTGATGGTAACTTTATTGGTGTATAAGACTTTCTGTCTGGGCAGCGAGTATTAACCATAAACTGTGCTCTGGGTGTACAATTAATTTTCACTCGATTTTTCCTCTACTTGACTTCAAAAGACACAAAACACGTAATAACACGAATCAAAATGCATCATCTTCAAAACGCAGGGTATTTAACAAAAGTTGACACAAAATTATAACCTATAATTTGACAAGACTTTGACAAGTGTCAAAAATCTAAAAAATCTAAAGGCGAGTTCATACGCATCGGCGTCCGTTTGTCGTTCATCGTTCCGTCAAACCAATAAAATTGAAATACGATCTGTCATTTTTGAAATAAACCAATAAAACTGGTTAAAAACAACAATAGACGACGCATGACGGATTTATATTTAAACCCATCCATAGTTAACTTAAAAATAATTAGAAACTTTTTTTAGTAAAATAAATAGATTGGTATGGGATGTCATCTGCTTTTCTTCTGTCATCGTCTGTCGAAATCTTACCTGAGAAAAAAAACAGAGTATAGAAATGATTTGACCAACATAATGAATTTCGGTTTTATTGGTAATAAATTTGACCAAAACAAAATTCCAAGAACAACCTTGTCTTCTTTGTTACGAGCAATTAAATTCTCCCAAAAATCTTCTTCGCCTGATGAGTCTCCAGATGACATACAAACACTAGACTCACTAGAGCTTGAATCATTGCGCTTTTTATTAGTTTTCACTAAACTTCTTTTTGCCGACTTTAATGAGGATTTGTTTTCTTTTAGTGACCGTTTCCTTTTGCGTTCTTCTTCTATTCGTTGTCTATTTTCATACTCTGGTGTGTCAGTATAAACTGATGACTTAGATTTCTTTCTACCTTTCTTGACTTCCTGCACTACTGGTGCTTTTGGATAAGGTCTGATTTCACATAGAGAAGCTCCAGAGGATGTAGTAGCTAATAATGGAGGAGTTGTGTTACCCTGTGATGTAAGATTATCACTTGTTATCTGCTTAACTTCATTTTCATTACTGCTACTAACTGTGACATTTTGCTCACCTTTTGATATGGAAGGTATCGGAGATAGTGAAACTGTGACCTGCTGTGAGGGAATATTATCGTGAATACTTTCTAGCGACGGATAATTTTCCTTTAGTGGTTTATCAGTCACCTCGCTAGCTATAAAATCAGCATCACCAAATATTAGACGATTCAATGGATAATGGCCCGTGTGTTTAAAGGCGCTCACAATATTTTTGATTGTAAATGCATTCTCATAAGCTTTTTTAGAGTTTTATAAGCCAGAGTCCTGATTTGTTTGTAATTTAAACCATAGTTTAAATCAGAACACCTCTTGATATAAGTGACAAGCTCTGCCTCTTGACTAGTAGTGAATACTTGCTGGGATGTGTATTTACTAGAAAATACAAAATCTTCCTCGCTTTCATGGCCAATGGAGTCCTTCAATTCTTGTAATAGTTGTTCTTTTGATTTATTTTCCGTAAGTTTTTTAATTCGAGATTGAATCGTTTGACGCTTTATTTGATACTCTTCTGCTGCTTTATATTGGCTTAAGCGCTTAGACAAAACCGCTTTAATGGCCAATTTTAATCTTGTTTTGCTTACATTACAACGGTTTGTCTTTTTTACGAACTTCTTTGGCATCTATAACAAAATTTGAACAAAAATTAACACCAAAGGGAACATTCGGCCGCCAGCCGAAACATCACTAGATTTGCCAGCCGAATATGTTACCCACCAAGAAATAAAATATCTTTATTGCGACCAGCAAAACGCACACAATATTTGAGGTTATGTTGATTCACTTGTAATAAAGACACGTAATATACGACTTAAAAACCATAATTAAACTTTTTTAAGTTAATAACCAACGTCGCCTAATTTACTATTTTCAAGATGTAAAAACTTACCTTAAAAACGCTATAATATTTGATGATGTCCAAAATGAAAACAGATAAAACAATTAACACAATATACACCTGCCACAACTTCAAAGTAATACTTTTGACAGCTGACGACAAAATCCGCGCCAAATTTAAACATATTCGTGATTTATTGAGGGTAGCCGAATGTTCCCTATAGCCGAATGTATACCACTTTCCCCTAATAGATTTAATGAAGAGGTGAAAGAGGTGAACAGAGCTGGCACAAATTTAAGAACTTGACAACACTGTTTCCGATACGTTTCAGTTCTTCCGCCAAAAAAGTGTATGGAAGGAAAGGATATGGAACGGAAGGGAAACGGAACGGATATTGTGCATTGCCCTATTCATTTACATGATATAATATTTTATGTAAGCGGAAGGGAAATGGAAGGGAGCTGATGCGGAAGGTATAGTGAGAATCAACCTTAAAACGGACAACGTAATGAAACTGCAGGTCGCACAATGCCCAATGGCACAAAATATGCTGGTACTAACCAAGAGAGACCGTAAAAGAATAGAGTGGATACGACAAAAGGCCCATGTAATAGATGTCATCCACAGAAACAAATCCCTCAAGTAGTAATGGGCAGGACACCTGGTAAGAAGAACGGACAACAGATGGACCACAAAAATTCCAGCATGCTACCCACAAGGAATTAAGAGACCTAGGGGAAGACCGAATCTGAGATGGGACCATGATATTAGAAAATTAGCAGGGATAACTTGAGCCCGCATAGCCAAAAATAGACAAAAATGAGCCAACTAGAAAGAGAATATGTAAAATATGTGAGGGAGGCTATACCATAATTGGAAATGGTTGAATAAGCTGAGAATGGCGATGATGATGATGATGACTTAAAAGTAGATATCCAGAAACCAAACTTTAAGTAACTCAATTTAATTTAAAGTTCACCGTTTTTTCTTCCACTTTCAATCAACCATTAATCGCTCTTATTTTTTCTTATTTGTTATTCTCAACACCTAAAGGAAATCACTTGCTCGAACCCAGTTTACGTCATCCTCCAATAAATCTCCTCCGTTTTCACCTGCGCTACTTACACCCGTGGCTCGTCGATCAGCCCCCAGATAGCCATCTACATGTCGCTAAGTCGGCCAATGTTCGGTGGTGGTGCTGCCGCAGCAATCGAAAGCATTTTTCCGCATAGTCGCCGACGACGACGTCGCTCCACCTGTCGCGGCAGGCCTGGCAGGTAACAACAAAAGAGCATCGACGAGAAAGAGCGGAAGAAAGGTAGATACGGCTCGTGTGCCTAAGAACAAACGAACATCACCTGGTGAACAGTACGTGGCTGACTTGGCGGATGACGGTCGCGCTTACTATCGTAGTAAGCCAACGGAATCGCGGCGGGCAGTGAATTTTTGTTTGGCGCGAACATTTGAAAGCTCGCGTATATTTTTTTTTCTTTTGTTGTTTCGTGATTACTGAAAAAAATGAACGAGATTTTTATACGAGGGTTTGTGGAAGGTGTTTGATGACTTTTGAAGATGAAGTTTGGATTTTTGAGGTTTGAATAGTGTGACATTTTGGATTTTCTCGTGCGAAAAGTTATATTTCGATTTGTTAGTCAAGATGTGTAGTAAAGAACAGATTAGTGACTTGATGGATAAAATACACTCGGTAGGTTATATGTTATTTTTAAAGTTAATTGATTGCATTTTTTTATTTTATTAAATATATTAATAATAGGTAATCTATTTCCAGTTCCATGGTTTCTCAAAAAAAATCAATAATATAAATTATAGAAAGGTTGTTCTATAATTTATTTATATATTCTAACTAGCTGACCCGGCATACGTTGTTTTGCTATATAAATATTTTTTTTTTGGGACAACAGTAATTTTTATTCACGAGGTTTAAAATTTTTGAATTACTAATATCGCTATTAATAAATAGGGGTTAGTGGTAGAAGGGTGAAAATTTAGAGTTGTATGTATTTTTAAATAAAAATAAATAATTTTGTCCAAAAAATAAAAAAAATCGGGTAGACCACCCTTTGCACTTAGGGGAATAAAAAATATATAACAATCTCTTCTTAGACCTCCAAATATGCATATAAAGTTATTTTTGAAAATTGCTTAGATTTTGAAAACCACTGGATCTTTTCTGGATTTTCTTTTTGGTAAATTTAATGTACTACCAATGTTGCCATATTATCACGAAATTATGGTTTTTTAACTAAAAACAATGGAAATTTTGAAAAAAAATGTCGCGAAAAAAAACTCATAATCATCGTGTTTCTGGGGTCGATATATACTATCCCTAAAAATATTTGCACTTCAATTAGCGTAGAAGTTTGTTCCTTTAATTTCAATGTAAGCATTCAGAACGTCAAAATTAGTGGTAGACATTTTCAATTAATAGAAAAAACAAACCAAATTTTTTCTCTAATGATCGAGAAATGTCATTTTGGCCTTTGATTATCTTCCGTTAAGAAAAAATGTTAGTAATCAAAAGTTGATTGTTTTATAAGCTAAATATTAGGCTTTCTCTATGGATGCAACTGTCTAATGCAAGCTGTTGCTAGGATATTCTATTAATTTTAATTGTGTTTTCTAAACATTGTGAATGATCGTAAACTAAAAAGTATAAAGTGTAATTGAAACTAGTAATTTATTTCACTAATTGCGAGGTTCCGAATGAAGCTTTATGCAATCGGTGCAAATTTTGAACTGTCCAAATATTGGCTCCCCTGTTGATTTTACAGCGAAGTCATTGAAGGTTTTTTAAAGGTCCCCGTATGTTGAATACACATGACAAATTTGATCAATTTTGAATAAGCCTTTTTTATCTAAATTATGAAGAACTGCATCGATTTTTAAATTAACATTGAATAAGGTAAAAATACAAAACCAGACAAATATCAACATAGTCCTCAACATATGATTTTGTCAGTTTGTTGTGGTGTTTACGCTACTACGTTTAACTGCAGTTAGTGTGCCTGAAATGCATTTTTGTAATTTAAAACTTGTTACAAACATGCAAGAGCCTAACGTTTAAGAAATACTATTTGACATTTACAAAATCATAGGTTGACAACTTAAGGTATGTTGGCATTTGCCCGGGTTTTCATTGTTACCTGTTCAGTTTTAATTTAAAAATATTCTCAGTTGTTTTTAGGTTACTTAAAATCGGCTTTTCCAAAAATTTTGAAAGCTGGCAAGTGTATTCATCAGCATACGCAGACCTTTAAAAAACCTATTCACGACTCCGCTATAAAATTAATAGGAGTGTCAATATCTGGACAGTTCAAAAGTTGCATGGGATTTCCTGTGCATGGGATCTGTCTCATTTTCATTAATAAAAATATAAAAGCATATATTTTGAAAATGTTGATAATTATTAATAAAAGGAATAATTATTTAGGACTGTACAAATAATATTAAATGAACACTCAGATTGTTTGATAATTTATGTTAAAGAATGGCATATTTGTTGACATGCATTTATTTATAGCTATGTTAATTACAAAGGGTGTGAAATATAATATTGCTTCGTGAAAGTTGCTTATAGAAACCTTTTGATATGTTTTCATATTCACTACATATATTTTATATTTTTTATACTATATATTTTTTCATATTTATATGGTAATTTATTTTCTAATCTTAACTAAATTATTTTTTATGGAAATACATAATAAAAAAATATTTTTTTATGTTTCATTTCCAAATTTATGGATGCATAACATTAAAAACGTTTATGGTTTTTTTATATTTCTTATACAAAAATGAAAGTAACTTATTACATAAATTATAATCTATATTAGATTACTGTTAATCCTGCTTCAAATACCGGTTAGTGCCATTTTCCTTGCTATTAAAATCTGATTTTTGAGCAAGCGAGTATATCTATCATATCAACTATCAGTAATATGATAACGTATAGTAGTTTGTTGTTTGAGTATTATGGATTGTTTGCTATATAGATTGTGTATATTGGCTATACCAAAAGATATTAAAGTGTGTTTAATATCTTTGACTATTCCGTATTCAGAAAGGTCGATTAAGATTTTATAGATTTATATATGCTTTAATGGTAGATGTTTATAATGGATTTTTGAAAAAGATTGACTTAAAAAAAATAATTTAAAACAAAGAAGGTCAAAAACACAATAAGTAATAACACCCAAAAATATTATGCAAATACAAAAGCGACATAAAAACTTTAATAGATTTTTATTTGATGATGATAGTGATGATGATATAAGAAGAATTAATACCTTAAATAAGAGATGTATTTGGAATATATTTATTTTATATCTTTTTAATCTAACATATTGATTATGCATTAGGTATATAAAAAATTATATGTACTTATAATCAGACTTTAAGACCAAGACAAAAAGACAAGGTTGAATTTTTAATGTTTTGAAAATAATGTTAAGAACTAAGTGGGTAATTATTTAGAAAATTAGTTAAGAACATTATTGACAAATAAATTTATTATTTTTAATGAAATGATTAACATAATATATTACAAAGCTTATTTCGATAATCCTTTTGATAATGTTTTATTAAAATTGAGTATTAAAGACAGCTAATAAAAACAATAAATATTTCTCTATATTTAAATAATCCTTATTACCACAAAATCATCAAGGATTTTTTGATATGGAAAAAATAAAATTTATGAGGATTTTTTTCTGAAAATTATAGTGTACATTATTAGAGCAAAATAAAACACTATTTCACCACAATACACCGACAGATGACAAACTCAAAGTTTTAATCATAACAGTATATTATCAGTGATGGCGAACCTATAATACGCGTGGCAGTGCTGACACACGAGCTCATTTTTGGTGACACGTATCTTCAAAGATAAAAAATATCATAATTCACATATTCAGTCTCTCATAAGGGCCAGAGAAGTTATTAATAATAATACTAGCTTTTTCCCGCGACTACGTTCGCGTTACATCTCGAATCGTTCATGCATTGATTTAATGCCAACTATACTGCTAGTTACAGTAATGCATTTTCGTACAGCTAAACTTTCATTCCCTATTCTAGTCCCTAAGGGTATACATTTCATAAAATATAGCTTTATCCAAATAATTAACTCATGTCTTTTAAATGATTCTTTATGCCAATTTTTATGTGTATAATCCAAAGGTCACCAAGTTTTATATAAACTTTTACTAACTTTACCCATTTGGTTGATGAATTTCAAAAATCTCTTCTAATTCTTTTTGTAGGATTTCATTCTTCTAGACCTTCTAGATGGATATGGACTATTGTTTACATTAATAAAATAATTAATAATTTAATTCTGAAACCAGACGTACCGATACATTTTTAGTCTTTACTTTTGAGATTGTCTGACACGTCTCGAAAATTAAGTTTTGACACACTGAGCTCAAAAGTTCAAAAGGTTCGCCATCACTGGTATAGAGTAACAACAAAAGTTCTAGCGCTCAACTCACCCAACTTTAGTCTCAATTATTAATTACAAAGTTGGGTATGCATAAAAATAAAAATTCAGTAGGTACTATCTAATTACAGCCTTGAGTAAGTAAAACAAATTCAATTTCATAAAATTGTTGGATTGCTGTATCACTTCTATAAAATTTCGCAAAATTAAGACGATTTCACTTTTTTTTCTTCTATCGAAATGCACGTATCAAATAGAACGAAACCTATCGATGATGATTTTAATACGAAATGTGGGCAAATCTCGTAAAGTGATTAGTTGCAGATTAAAAAAGAAGCCCTATTGAGACAGAATAGAGAATAGAGGTGTTTGAACGAACCTTAAAACCGCACGAGGTAGATTTATCATAAATTGATTCGTATCAAATTTCTTTCTACCTTAGAGGGATTCATTTTCCATGACGAGTATTAATTTCACAAGAAAAATGATTAGCAAGATGCATTTATATATTATTTTAGGTTTCATAAGGTTACGGTTTTTATCTAGATTTTATTTTTTATAAAGAGCTAAAAAATAACGAAATTTTTATTTACTTACTCCACACGCCTATAATTTATTAAATTAAAAATAATTAACAATAAAAAATAATAAATAAAAAATTTATTTCTCCGAAACTATTGCCAGCTAATATGTGATTTATGGTTAGGGTTGTTCTATCTAAGATATTGTAAACTATTGAGAAAAATAAACAGATGTTTATGAATAATACTATACCTACCACAAGTTAAATTAACTAATTAAGAACTTTAAAAGTGTACCAAGGAAGTTAGCTGAAAAAAAGTTAGGTTAGAACCTTGAAAGTAACGATTTATTTTAAAATTAATTGTTGAAAATACATAAAATTTTAATGGCGCATAATTTTTTAGGGCCTATCATATTTACATCTCACAGAAAAATTTTCTCCGCAGACATAATTATCTTGCGAATCCAGTAATCCACTTCTTACCAATAACTTATTTACATTTACTAGGAAGTGCATATATGTAGGTATTTCATCCATATTGGATTAATGTTCAAACGGCCATGCCATCAGTTATTACTACACTTGTTGGTTTTCCTGGTTCATTATTGGGAAATTCATTTACATACACATATTAAAAAGAAAAATACTTTGCCTTATTCTTTCTCTTTCTTTCCCACGTTAAAATGTAGGTAGTATAAATTAGGACTATTTTTAGTAAAAT